TTTGTCATTAAGCACGCCTCGAATATCATCAGGTTTGATAATAATATGACCCAGTATATATGACATTTATGCGGTCATATATATATATACGACGCTTTAGGCTTTTAGCTCGTGCGATACGATATCATATTACATATATAATATACATTGTTATATTTTGGAGGTTAGTCGTCGTCCTGGCTCCCGTTAGTGTTCATTTCCACCTCCAAACAATTAAATTTTTCTGTTCCCGATTTGAATCCACGTTTGTCCTCCTCAAATTAATTCACATATACCCTTTCGATAATTTGACGTAAAATCGTATTTTGAAGCCTACAGTTTTGTTGGGTCATCGTCCTGCCATCACAGTAACCCTGCGTGTTCTTGAATAACTTTTTTTTTAAATACATTTACACATATATATATATGTATATATATTTAGGTAGGTATATCACAATCACACACGCCTATCCGGTGATCGTTTAACGCAGGTATATCCGATTCGATCGTGTCTGATATAATTATCGTTAACGAACGACATATTATAATAATTATTATAACCACTCATAGGTACTATTGTTATATCTGTATAGTCTATGTTATTAAAGCGCCTACCCGTACGGAAAGACCGTCGAAAACCTCCCGAGATCGAAAACGGCGATAAAATATTAAATCTAAACCAGTTTATCTCATTATGAGAATGGTAAAATCTTTCGTCCGATCAACTACCATATTATACACAATTAGTTTAATGACAGCCAATTTTGATTAGTATCTCATTAGCTGGATGTATACCTACGTGTATAATACTACACTGCGGCAGTTGTAGGTATAAGACGACGGCACTATACAATGCTCACCGGGTACGGAGATTTAACTAGCGATGTTCGAAACGACCAAACAAAACGACACGTCGTAAAAAAAAAAAATATCAATGGGTTTCGTTCGTAAACAATAAGTCAATTATACTAAAACGTTATTTGCTCGTGTGTGAAAATATGTCGTTGGTAGAAAACAGATAAAGCACGCGCCTTTCAATCATTCATAAATCATAATCACACGAGGTACCTATCTATACACGCACGTACCTATACAAATTGTGGGAAGGGGGAACCGTAACGTTCGACGTCGTGTTTACTGCGGCAAACAACAGCTGATTCTCGCTCTCGCGATTTTCAAATTCGATTTCAGCTTAATTCAGCTGCCCATCCAACCGACGACGTATCGTTTATAAAATCTTGTATTTGAATGTTGGGTAAATTTGTTTTTTTTTTCCGAACAATTTAGACTTTTAAATTATGCAGTTTTTTTTCCGCTCTTCAGGATATCAACCCACTCTTGAGCTGCTCTGCTGTATATAGTACTCTCTTTATATAGGTAGGTTCAAGTGTTCGGTGTGTGTGATACGGATGCCGACGAACGCGCGGATGTAACAAATTTAATACGTCATGCGTACTAATATAATTGTTGTATTTTTTTCCGCGAGGTGTTTGAACCGCAAACACCGAACGATGAGTGACCGTTCATTAAGAACAACACGCTAATAACTCATGGCGTGTGATCAGATAGCCATCGTAATGAGAAAGGACGTTTAAAAACCTCTTCATTCATATATTATACGAAACGCGGTTTCCGAACGAGATGTTATTGAATCGTCTTCGATAGTATAATAATAACGCCGAATTGTTGTCATATTATAGTACGTTTTACTAGTCGCCGTCCACCCACGCACAATCGCGTCCATATTGTGACGGAGCTGGTTTCGTAGAATGACAACAATGGAATAGAAAAAAAAAACGCTTTCGACGCGAAAAGTTTTTCGAAATTGAATGGCTTATTGTTATTCGTTTATTATTTTTTTTTCGGCCAAAGTCATATTACTGCTGTCGTAGACTCTCGATTTCCGGACCAGATTCGCGGAACGCTAGGAGAGGCTGCGGTGGAGGTAGACTCGCGAGTCGTGAGAACCGGTGCCGGAGTTCCGATAAATCGTATAATATTCAATAATATCGCGTGCACTCGGATTACACGTCGGATAACAGCTGCAGCGAAATCGCTGACCACCGATAAGAAAACCGTATGCACACAGACGTCGTAATATTATAATATTATACCCGAGTATAAATCGCTAATATAGGCACGACGACGTGATCGCAGACTACACACGATCCTCCGCCGTCGAATCATATATTATACCATCGTATAACATTATAACGTATGATTATAATAATGCACATATTATTATTATAATATTCGGCACGGTTGCGGTTTGGCCCGTCGTCGTCGTGGACATCCGAATATCGCCTTCGAAGACGTTGCCTCGAGGTCGCCGTTATCTATATTACAGTGCTATTTTACTAAATTACGGGTCACGTACTATTATACGCCAAATTCCTGAAGCCTAGACGTGCGCAGTTACAAACAGATCCGGTGAAGATAGTCCTTGGCGGTTGTACGGTATTGTAATATTATATAATATACGATAACGTAGGTACAATATTGAATATATTGTCATAAATCGGATATTATAAAATGGTATACCACCGTCGGAGGCCGTTGTTATTTAGTTAGCGCGAAACCTAGGTACCTAATATCTACAGGTGGTATGATAATAGAAGAAAACATTAACATTAATGGTAATTTTTAATTTTTTCAAAATACTTAAATAAATATTTTTAATACAATATGGATTAGTCGTTAGTACTCATTACTGATTGGGTTTTCTCAATTTTTACATTTTTCAAAAATTATAATAGGTTTAAAAATTAATTACCTATAGGTACATTTCAGAAACTTAATAAAAATAATGTTATCATTGTGGTACAGTTTATACTTACAGCTTTAATACAGTAATATTTTGGTTAGCCTTCTGAAACCTCGTATTTAAGAAAAGCCTAAACATTTACTTAAATATCCAATTATACCCTGAATGTTTGTAAGACAGTTTTTACTATTTTTATAGATATAAGAATTGTACCGATAATTCTGATCATAGTTATAACTTATAATACTCATCTTAGGAGAAATTTTATTTTTTTTTTTTTGGTGGCTTGGCGAGGCCACCGTTTCAACATTACCTACTGTACCAATCTTGATAACCGTAATCCCTACAATGGCTAATGGAAATAGTTGTCGGCTCAATAAAATAAAAATTTAGTTTTACCATATTATGTATTTGTTAGGTTTTTTTGTTGAATCCAGATTCCCAAATTAATATAAATTCATTCAAGTTTCAATAATTTTAAAGAATTTAAAAGTCTACTACTTTAAATATTAATAATAATAATGTTTAGTTTATAATAATAATATTAATAAAATAATATATATTAATAATATTAATAATATTAAATAAATATTAATCGAACATGTAATTTTATATTTTGTCGATTTAATGATATAATGTACACTGTACAGTAGTAATATTATTCGCTATATCGTATCCATTGTAAAATATTTAAGGTGATATACCATATTATTTACAATTTAATATTATATTGATAAACGAAACTCTCACAGCTTTAGATATGAACCCCTTTTTTTATTTTTCTTATATACCTATACTTCTGTCGTCACTTACTGTTGGGAATACAAATATTATTATTATTATTACTATCACACGTATACATTATAATTTATTTATCAATATGAAACGCATGACTCTTGTTAATTCGGTTCGCGGTTTTAGTATGCGTTTGAAGTATTGAGGTACTGTTTGTATATACCTCCCGCCAATGGCACAGTATATATTATTAGATTAAAAAACGATGTGGAAAAAAATACGCGAGTGCATATAAACGAGTGTACGTGTTGGTACCTATAACTCGGAGTTTTCCTTCCGTATATATACACCGGGAAATCAATTGAGCGACTTCAGCAGTGTATACACTTTTTATGTGGGTTACACACTTAACGGATGAACTTTAACCATTTTCGTACATATCCGTCCGGGCATTGCAGCGGGGGGGAAAATGCCTTCTACAGTACGGGGGCTGCGAAAATATAGGAAAACACTGTTGGAAATAAAACCGTTTTGCGTCGTAAAATCGGGAATATATTTTAAAGCCGGCTCCTCGCGGAGGTCCTTAAAAGTTATGTCGATGTGTTTTTCCGCTCGGTATATATTATATACAAACGGGTTCGGGGATTAAAGCCGGCCGAAAATTTGATGACTTTTCGCGTTTCCTGACGGAATTATCGTTTTTAATTTGGCGCAGCGCTGCGGTATTTTAACCGCGTCCCCCGCCCCGCGGTTTATCCGCGTTGTTCAGACTCGGGAGCTTCGTCGCGACGACTGCGATTTGAATAAATTTCAAAACTAAAACTAAAACGGAGGCGAACGTCTGAAATACCGACGTTGAAAATTTAAAATTGGCCGAGCTCGCTCGCAATTCCGTTATCTTATCGCGAGAATCGCGCAGACACGAATTTCCCGCCGAGAGAGAGAGAGACACTGCCATAGATAAATCTATGGACACCGAGCTCACGCTCGCGGAGCAAACATATTATTATTATACCATTACCCACCCGCACTGTTGTAGTAGTCGGCCGACAGTATAAAAAATTCCAAGTGGTCGGCCGTCGCTCGTATTACCCGTATATACGCGTACAAGCGACGATAAATATTGCGCGGGACAATAATAATTATCGACTTGTGTGCAACATAATATTATAGAATATATAAGTAAGGATACGGTCGGATCGCCGTACGTCATACCTTGTCGGCTCGGACGTTATCCCGGTTTCGAATCTCTTCTCGGTATACCTATAGTACCAATCTGTGGTATATATTATATTTATACTATCATATAATATAAATTGTGATACGTAGGCATAGGTCACGAACCGTCGTCTCGTTTCTCTGGACACTCGACGTCGCGACGCGATCAGGACCGGGAGCGGATTCATCGTCGGCGACAATCAAAATATAATTTATATTATATTACACTAATGACCTAATTAAATACAGGCACGTCACTATAATAATATGTCAGCTGCGATAAAGTTTTATTTTCGCTGTCATCATGGCCATGGCTCCCCTTTCTACTGCAAACATGGAAAATACGATATCAACTGGAGCGTTCCATATTTTAGCGTTTATTTCATATGCAGGCTGGAGAACATGCTCAATCTGGCCAGATGTACAGCCGCTGACCATGGACTTAGCCCGTGTTGTTGACAATGTTGACATGATTGTACTATCAGGTCCACTATCGTCCGGGCTCGTCGATACTCTGCCTTTGCCCGTCAACCGTGGTCGGAGTGTTCGAGTATACCATCGCTTTACGTACACAATAATATGATAATAGTGTAATTCAGTCGTGAAATAGTCTCGATGTTATAATACAATATCGTGTTGTGTATTATATAGCCGACGCGCGGACACCCATCCAGCTATAGCAGCGTTCGAAGGTAAAATACACACACCGCCACGACTCTCCAGGCTGACCGCGAGATGAGTGTTGTGCTCACATCACATCGTATTATCGCATGTATAACCGGTATATTATGTAATGTTTATTATAATAATATTATATGATATGGATACTATATATTTTAATACATGGATCCCAGGTACGGATCCAGAGCATAGATCTGGGGAGGGGGGGGGCAACTGAACAATTTTTTTGCAACAAAAATACAATTATAATAAAATATTATACTTTATTATTGATTTAAAAATGTTGTCATAGTAATAATAGCAGGGGCGTCATTTCAGGTTTTTTTTCGGGTGTGCGAGGTTTCAAGCAGGCCATTTTGAAATTTCAGTATAAAAATAGATATACATACGTATATGTACATTATCCTGTTTTCAATTATGTCCATGCATTATGGAGTATGGACCGAATCAATTCGGAATCATTGCATCAAAATAAATAGTAAATATCAATTAAGAAACTAAAATATAATAAATAATGAATTACCTTAACAGTGAAAACCAATAACAATTGTCAATTGATGCATAAAAAGCTAGAAGAATTAATGCAGCAGCAAATAAAAAAGGACTTAATGAATTGTCGTTTATTTTCATAATTATTATAATTTTGGAAAAAGCAAAGCGCTAGAAAAAAAATATTTTAAATTTAAATGAGCGGATATCGTCGATTTTTTAGTTTAGTGAATTTATCTACAGCTTCTTCTAAATTTATATTGTTAACTTCTTTTTTTTCAACATTAAGTACCATCCAATCACTTAGCCTTTCATCACCCATGGTAATGCGTAAATATGACTTAACTCTTTTAAGTAATGAAAAAACCTTTTATTTGATGCCTTTGTAATTGGTAAAGTTTTTACCAATGAAATAATTTTTAAAGTTTCAACAAAAGCGATAGGAAAATCTTCTAGGCATATTGCTATGGTGTCCAAATCAACATCATGTTTCTCATTAAATAGTGCTTTTACTGATGGAAACTCAGAAGAAATTTGAATTTCATTAAAGTTAATATAACTATAATGGTTTATAAATAATTTTAAATAAAGACTATCGGGATTAAAAAAATTGGGACTAGAAAAGTCAAACATTTCAAATAACTTAAACAAGTTATTGGTTGGTTCTGAAAATCTTTCATTAAGTTGTCAATATAAAAATTAAAATACAATTTAATTTTAATCATATTAATAATTGTGCATTCGTGGCTCGTGCATTACTTTAGGCTTCAGCGGGGCGCAGGCCAATTGGAACCATTTTAAAATTAAGGGGTGCTACCGCACACCCTGACCCCCCCCCAAATGACGCCCCTGAATAATAGTATAGATAATCAATGTGATAATTTAGATTTTGTTTGTTTGTTATTTAATGTATAATATTTATATTTATATAAAAAATATGTTTAGGGGGGGGCTGAAATGGCCCTGGATCCGTCCCTGTATCTACCTGGTGCAGTACAAGGCTTGTACACAACACTGCCGGCCACGAAAATGTCATCCGCCGAGTTTATCGCGAGTGAGTTTTTTCGTTTTGTTTTTTTTTTATTTTCGAACAAAAGCTGGGTAAGAGATAAACCCGATAGAGTAGGTATATAAAGACCTCGAGAAATGACGTCGCCTGCCGGTCCGGACGTCAGCAGCAGCCCGCTGCATCCGACAATTGACCTAAATACAAAACAAAATACGAATAAAAAAAATTATAACGCTCGACCGCCTCAACCCTATATAATATATTGGTCGTCGACTACCACATATCTCGGTCGCGGTATCTCACTCCAATTATTATTATTAGACTGCAGTTGTTGTGCGTGATACCGCGGTCGCATATTATACCGCCCGCAGACGGACCCGGCGCTTTATCTCTTCGCGCCGTGTACAAGACGACGACGACGATAACAATAATAATAATATTACTACGATTATTATTATTTCCAGTCGCACTGCAGTTGTAGGTAGGTACTTTATTATTTCAATCGGAGATAATTTCTTTTTTTTTCGGTCGCGAGAACCAGTCCGACTCGGCTCTTGTTTTTCCTTGTGGTGTATGTGACCTATAATACGTCTTGTATTTCGTCCACCGCTGCAGTCGGACACGATATCAAGTTATTATTTATTGCTCGTCATATTTTCTACATGATTACGTGACGACGACGACGACGACATTCCCATGTATATTTCGTGTTTCATTAAAACATTCTACACCAACTTTACACCGACCGTGGTTTTTATCTCAAGTCCAATTATTTGAAAATATCATGTACCTACGTAATCGTTACCATTATACTCGAAGAAAGTATAATATAATAATATTCTATCTTCTAACATGATCCGAGTGCTGGTATACAGCCGCGATACAGTAAGCACGTAAATAATTAAGTGATAAATATTATCTCTCACATAATTGTTATTATTATGATAAAACCGCGATAATTGAACAGACATGCCTTAATATAATAATAATATATTATGCTGATTACAACTATTCAGTATTCACTTCATTATAATAATATACGAGTATTTCATATAGATCCCCCCTATTATATACATGGCTCTATATTACGAACATTCGGTCTAATAATCGTCTCTCATTATCGTTTGCTATATTATATACGTCTCGCGTTCAGTTATTTATCATAGCAATCGTAATCTTATCAAATAACATTCCATTAAAGTTTCAGAACAATAATAATATTGAAGTCGGCTACTCGGTTCGCGTGTAATATAATATAACAAGTGCAGAAGTTGGAGGAGCCGTACATATGCAGCGCTATATATTATGTTTGTTGATCTCATATTATTGAAAAAGTTTCTCGATACGATAAATAAAAATTCGGAGTTTTAAATGGATATCCAGAAGTATTTTATTGTTCCCTCCGAACAGTTTTAGTATAATATACTGATTACGGATGAGCATAAAAGATCGCGCGGCGCCTATTCGGGTTTCGCTGATCCCCGACAATGGGCCGTTATACCAGAGAACTTACGAATATATATTATTATTATATACACATATATTATATACAAATACACAATACGCGTATGTCTCTGCTTTTCGCCACGAGTGTATTTTTATTTTTTTTTTTTTGGTCGATCGATACGTTTTTCCAGCACGTTGCGCGGAAAACGTGTCGTCGTGTCGACGCAATTACACCGAAAACATGCGATGAAATATTATTAATGTATATCGAATCAAATCGTGCGCTCTAAAAATTTGAATAATAATTTGTCAGCCGGCTTTAGGTCAGAGTTGCGTGTGCATGCATATAGGTACGTCGCATGTACAAATTAATATTATATTTTATTGAATTATTTGGAGCGTAATCGTTTTCACCGACGCGCACCCGTTTACGTTGGCGCTGGGATATTAGATCTGACCGGCAGTGACGACAAAATAAATAATAATATAATAGCAGGTGGAAATTATTAACCGTAGACCGTGAACCCGGGGACACACGAATGCGGTGTCCAGTATATACGGCAAAACTAATTAAAAGTGCGGTGTACAGAGTTAAATTGGTGTGTTAAAAAAATGAAGGAAAATTCTGAAATTCGAGACGGTGGGTCAGCGACCTTATACACTATATTAAAACATATAATTTGGTTTTTCGCGTTCGATTAAACGCAATTCGATGGATGGACATTATACAAACACCTGCTGAATTAGCGCCAAATAGTAGATCAGATATTATTATAGCTACCTGAATAACGATTCTATGTACGAGTGTATTTATAAGTGTATTATCATATCTGCAAATCAATTAAAAATGTCAGAAGGGAGGACATTTTTAACACCGATAGGGGGCTTTGACCCCACACAACTAAAAAACTGTATTTTTTTGGGGGGTTATAATCGGATATTTGAGATCCTGCGATCCTGCGATCCTCCGATCTGCGCTTAAGTGTATTATATTCATGCATAGGTAAATTCTATGTAAATAAGTCACGAAGCAGTAGAAACAACGACGGCGGACGGTCGAAAAGGATTTTGTCAAAAAATTCGTCGTCGTCGTCGTCCATCAATCCCCCGGGCCGCAGAGTCGTCTGTCACACGCACGCACTCACGCACTAGCAACAGCGACGTTGACAAATCTTGACGTTTCGCGAATCGGATACGTCGTGTACGAAACGGTGATCAGTGTTATATATATACGACCGCCGCCGCCAGAAATGACATTCATTTTCTTTTTGCGCGTTAAAATATTTCGAAAAAGTAAAAGAAAAAAAAAAACGAAAAAAAAAACCGAGAAAATATAACGTTCGTCGAGTCAAATCCGATTCGGTGACGTTTGACTAACTACGATCCGCCGACACAGTGTTCGATTTCTACTACAGCTGACGTCACGGCCTCGATTTCCATTGTATATTATATGTTTTTGTCGTTATAGTCTTGTTCGCTCCGTATATAAAGCAAACACGGATTTAACTGGAAATGTGAATTATTTGACTTTCGCTAGATTAACTATATGGTCCGTGTTGAGATATTATTATCGCGACAATATATTGTTGATCGTATGGTTATTAGTTATCATAGCCACATAATATACAGGTCAGAGCTCTCAGAGTCATATAGGTAGTATGTTATGTGCAGGTGATAAATTTTTTTACATTTATTGTATTTTCACAGCGTACACAATATACTTTAGTTAATATAACTCTAGAGTTAAAAAAGAATAGAAATACTATTTGAAAAGTACCAAGTTATTTCTTCCTTCTATCAGGTATTATATTCACAGATAAAACAATATATTCTGTTATTGTTTCAGGAAACAATTTTAAATTCTTTATTTTAGTTACGTAATATATTCCGGTAGTTACCTATACCCGCAACGATAAGAGAACAATATTAGATTAAATAGGAATGCTCCATTATATTTG